TCTATTTCATCTCTTTCAGTCAAACTCCAACAAGGAATGCACACTGGTGGCTCCCACCTTCACAACGTGCAGACTGAGTTAGAACAGAGCTACACAAATGCTGTAGAGAGAAGTGGAAGAGCTGTAGAACTGGAAGAGGAAGAGGAAGAAGTGCACAAAGAGAATGAAGCAAGTCAGCAGACAGAGCAAGAAGCCCCACCTTCAGGCTCCACCATGTCTGCTTCTAGTGACCTAGAGAGCTGTGAAAGTGAAGGGAGTCCTGATGAAGAATTATTTGTGCCCCTTTTAGTTGTCCGAGGACAAGTGGGAGATTTTGTAGATGACCTTTCGTATTCCAGGCTCCCACCTGGCTCCCAGATACCAAGAAATAGGAAATCAGAACTTGCCAGATGGAAGAAGCCACTGCAGCATCCCAGCTGCAGTTTCTCTTATGATCTTTGCCTTTGTAGGTTGATCTGAGGGAGATTTGGTGCCACTTCCCAATGCCAGCAGGAAACCCAAGGCAGCTAATGTGCCCTCAGACTGCCAGTGACCAGCAGAGATACTACAAGCAGCCTTGGAGTCTGGAGGACCTGAGCTCAAAGTTGGCCTCAGACACTTAACACTTACTAGCTGTATGACCCTAGACAAGTCACTTAACCCAATTGCCTCACCAAAAAAAAAAAAAAGAAATTAAAAAACCTCAAGGCAATAGTGAATGTGGCAGAATTAAACAGAAAAACACAAACAAAAAAGACTCTCATCTCAACACTTGGTAGAGATGGGAGTTTTGCGTGTGTTCATTTTTGTTGACTTTTTCTCTTCCATTTTCACCCTGTTAAAATGTTCATTTGTTTTCTGAGATGGCTCTCTGGGAGGAGATGGGGGAGGAAGATTCTGGTGATAGAAAAATTCAATAAATTTTTTTTAAAAACACAGCTTATCTTTGTAAGTAGTTATTGTTTATGTGTTTTCTCTGTATATTTCTGACAGTGTTCTAAATTGGTATGAGCATTGCAATCTTTCAGCTCTGCTTGCTAGAATGTGAGTGGGATTGGGAATCAAGGGAAGTCCTGAAGAAGAGGCTGAGAGGTGTTAGGTTTTCTTACACCAGTGTGAATGTGCCAGGGCTGCTGGTGCAGCAATAAACTCCTGGGATTGAAGCACCTCACAGGGTGGAAAAGGATCCTCTTCAGGGGCTCAGATGCTTCATAGCCAGTGACCACCCAGGGCCATCTGCCTCAATTCTAAAATGGGATGATAGGAGTGAGGAGGATGGGATCTTAGACCCCAGAAAGGAAAAACCCCGGACTTTTCCCATCAACTGGCCTTACATTGTAGCTACACCCAATCTCCCAATTCTGTTACCCTTAACCTAGCCTAGCCCTCCCATTGTCTTACCTCCCTATGGTCCCTGGCCACATCCCACCCTTAATCCTAGCTAGACTCCTTTCTCCCTTGGCCATATGGTCCAGGTCCCTGGCATTCTATTACCTCACTGTCCCCCGCCAACTATTTGGCCACTCCTAGATCTCTCACACAGTCTTTCTGTATATAAGGTCCATCTTGTCTCTATTAAGGTGCTCAGATTCTTAGAATGTAGCCACTGCTCAGATATTTACAATCTGGCCAATAGCTCACAGATGCTCAGATTCCTAGAGTCTGGCTAATGGGATCTTTCCTAAACCTTGTCTTTGGCTGAAAGGTTTGGGTCATTCTTTCAGGCAAGACCCGGGTGTCATGATCTTGGGCTTCCAGCACCCCTAAACCTCACCAAAAGCACCTGCGTCAAAGTTGTTTGGAGGGTCAAATGAGATAATACTGAAGAAGACTTGGCCAGGCACTGGCACCTTTCAAATAGGCGCTTAGTAATTTCTGCCTCACTTTCCTCCTTCCTTGTTTTCTTCCTTTCTTTCTTCCTTTCTCTCCTCTCTTCCCTCTATACTTTCCTTTTCTTCTCTCTGCTCTAGAGATGCCAGTTAATAAGAATCCAGCTTAATTTCATTATCAAACTGTTGGCAGTAGCCATTTAGGAAGGAGAATGTTTAAAAGCAAGCCCATCCCTTGAGTATTGAATGACTTTAAGGAAGGCCAAGCCTCCACTAAGGGAGAGAAGGGTTTCTGTCCCCAGTAAACTGACACACTTTATCATCAGCCCCACTTGCTGCTTATATATCATTGTCTTTTCTTCTTCCACTTGGACTTTGCCTACATTATTCATGATACTAACCCAAGTAGTAAACAGGAAATTATTGGTGCTCCACTAAAGGCTGTCTTACAATTGACATCAATCCTTCAAGAACTCCTGGGCTTTGATCATTCAACCCAACTGCCAATATTTAGATGTTGCCTTAGCCTCTTTGGCTTGTACAGGGGAAAAAAAAAAGGCAGGTGAAACTTTTATCAATTACTTTATAAAAAATCTACGTAAAACAATTTTTACTCAATTCCCTTGATCTCACACTCTAGTGACCCTCTCAAGACAGAGTATGAAATCACCAGTGGTGTTTGTGGGTTGTTTTTTTTTTTTTGCTAGACAGTGCAGTTAGACTGACATGCCCAGGTTCATAAAGCTTGTAAGAGTCATGTGTCTGAGGCTGGATTTGAACTCAGGTCCTCCTGACTCCAGAGCCAGCGCTCTATCCACTCACACTACACAGCTGCCCCACAGTGGTGTTTGTTCTTCAAGAAGACATGCAGCCTCATTGTAGAATTACCAGTAAACATCCAGAAAAGGAAGTGGTGATCACACTCAGCCTGTAGAATTTGACAAGCATCAAAGTCAAGGTCACTAGTCTGTTACTTCAGTTTCCTCATATCACTGAACAAAATCAAGCCTTTTCATTCTCCAACAGTCAGAGAGCACCTCTCTTTTTCTCTGTTTGGAAAAAAAAATACTTTGTTTTGACATCACTTTCCTTCTAAAACAATCTCTTCTGTCTACACCATTACGTATATAATGGGTGATGTCCAAAAACAAATTAGTGGAACATAGAAAAAATTAACTGTCAGATCTATTGATGGGGGAAGACATCACGCTCATAGTAGAAATAGAGTTTCATTAGAGGTAAAATAAATGAGTATGATTACATAAAATGACCGACTTTCTGCAAAAACAAAACAAAGGTGGCTAACATTAGAAGAAAAAAACAGGAAAATAGGGAGAGTGTCTTGGCGTTAAGTTACTCTGATGAAAGTCTCCAAAAAGGAGGTATCTAAAGAGCTGAGTCCAATTTTTGAGGGAAAAAAATAAACATTCTCCAATTGAAAAGTGGTTAGAGAATAGGAAGAGCCCATTCTCAGAGGGGGAAATCAAAGGTATCAATAGCCATATGAAAAAATGCTCCGAATAGCCAATGAGTAGAGAAATGCCCATTTCAAGTGCCCTGACATACTACCTAGCACCCATCAGGTAGGGAAGAGAACCAAAAGGGAATATGAGAAGTACTGAAGTGCTTCAGGGACAACAGATTCTTTAGTGGTCTGTTGGTAGAGTTGTGAACTAGTCCAACCTTTCTGGTGTCGAGACAAGCTAGGTGATAAGTAAATTCATATTGTTTATTTCCTTAAGTTAGCGACATGCACGTGGAGCCAGAGCTTTAACTCTGACTGACTCAAGCAATTTTAGGAGGACATTTAAACCCTGACTCACGAAGTCTGCGTTACTCAAAATATAGCCTCCGTATGTTTTTTAACATACAGCATGAGAAAGGAAGTTTCTTAGCTGAATAGGTTGTAAATACAATAAAATAGAATGTCAAAGTGTCCATTGAAATTATAGATCCAGGATATCTGTGTTTCCCCTACATAACATATGTCCATAGGATAGAAAGATAATAAAAGTCCCACTATTCAACAGAGTCTGGTCCCAGGCATCCTGTCCTCAGTGATCCCAGACAGGAAAGATGCTAATCAGTTTCATCTGGACCTGTAGTTGCTGACACAGGAAAGGGTATTTTTAGTTTGATCAGAAAAGATTATTTCAGATTTTTAGCCCTTATTGGGGCTCAATTGATCTTAAATGATTATCACTGGAAACTAGTTGGGAACTATGCCCCCAAAGCTATTCGACAGCACATTCTGTCAAGTAACACAATTATGCTACACATTATCATACAAATACATTAGGAAAATCTTAACATATAAAGAATTCTTTAATCATTTAATACTGCCATTGTCTTAAAGTTATTTATCATCTTCTCCCAAGCAGGGAATGAATTTGCTTTCCGTTGGGTCAGACATAGGCAAAGTGCATTTCTTCTCTTTCACAGTCAAACTCCCAGAACAAAGAATGCCCACTGGTGGCATCTGCCTTCACTATATGCAAACTATGTTAGAACACAGCTACAGAAGAGCTGTAGAGAAGTGGAAAAACTATAAGAGTGAACGAGAAGGTGGCAGAAGTGCACAAAGAAAGTGAAGCAAGAAGTCAACATGCTAACCAAATTAGAGTTAACACTGACTACCCTAGCTCCCACTGCCTAAAGGCCAGTCATGTTACATTTCACCCCTTCCCTCAGGGTTCTCAGCTAGACTCTCTTCCAATGACTGGTGGTGTTCCCTCACTCCAGTTCCATTTACTCCTATGAGTTGGAAGAGCTTTTACAAAGGAACATGTACTTCAAAGGGTGTAACCACAAGTATACAAACTTCCTTGTACCTTCAGTCAGTCTCTCTGCTAGCCCATCCCCTTATGCCAGCTCCCACCCCCAAGTGCACCCCAGCCTCAGACTCAGTCCCAGGCACCAGGCTCCCCAGGGCTCCCCTGCCTGACCGCCTGTAACATCCCATCAGGAATCCTGGCTTCACAGTCACCTGGCGTGAGCAACCAGGCGTGGGGGGGAGGGGGGGAGGATCCGCCCCCTTCCCCTCCCTCCTCCCCGCCCCCGGTCCCCCGGATGGAGGACAGAGGGCACAGAGCACAAAGCAACACCCCCAGATCAAGAGGGGAGGAGGAGGGGAGGGAGAAGCCCTCCCCGCTCAGTTCAGTCCAGCGCGCCTGCGCGGTGGCGTCGCTGAGCTCTTCGGCCTCGGGATGCGGCTGAGCACCTGCACCCCGGGCCGCGTGCAAGCCTGGCCACGGAATACAGAGGCACCGGGACGCCTTTGTTGATGCTTCTCCTAGCGCCCTCGCTCATTCTGCTATTCCCGTCCCCGCTCGTGGGCATCCGACCCATTTTAAGGCGCTGCCCCTAATGCCGCCTTCGTCAAACGCCACTGACCAACCTCTAGCTCACGCCAATGACCCTCGCTCTAGGCCTGCCAGTGCAGTTGCTTGCACGTGTCTCAAAACCATCGTGAATTTTGTGCATTTTGACATTCGAATACAAAGTGAATGTGTTATTCAGGTAATGGCAGCGACCACCTGGAAAGAAGACGATCTGCTCCTGAGCCTTCGGGCGGGCGGTGGTTATCCTGGGCATGCGCAGAGAGCGTCCTTAGCCCTCGACTACGTTTCCCAGAAGGCGCAGGGGTCTGGTCCCGGAAGCTGTCTCCTTAAAAAGGTTAATAGACCGAATTGAGCATGCGCCACCGGAAGTGTCGTCTCCGGGGCGGCAGCGGGGCGGAACGCTGGGTGCATTATCCCTGGCGGCCACCGCAGCTCCGGCTCCGGTTTCGCCCTCTCCCATAGAGCCCCGTTTCCTTCCCCACCGTCCTCCGGGCCCTCCTGCGCGGGATGGCGGCGCAGCCCTGTGCCCGGCCGGACTCGGAGCCCCGGGGGGAGCGCGCGGGGACCCTGGGGAGCCGGGGGTCCCCCGGGGCTGGGGGCGGCGGAGGGGCCGGGGCGGCTCGGGGCGCGGGCCTCGGGCGAGGGCGAGGTGGCCCTGAGGAGCCTCCCCGGTGGGGCCCGACCGGCCCCGGCCTGCCAGGTGAGGGGGCGGGGTGAGGGCGTGGTGCGGCCTGTTCCGGCCTCCTCCTCCTCCTGACACTGATTCATTCCCCCGGAGCTTGCTCATTCATTCCTCTGTACGTTCGCTCCTTCCTGGTGGCGGTCGCCCGGTGCATTCATTGTGTATTTCATTGTTGCCCCGTGCATTCGCCCCCTATTTCATGTAATCACTCGTTGATTCATCCCAAGGCAATGGAAAAGGGACCTAGAGCAGGTAGAACAGCAGAGCTGAATTTGGTGTCTGAAGATCTAGGATTGAGTTCAGTTCTTTTGCTAATATTGGAATGAACTTTCTTACCTTCCCTCGTTGTGTGGCCGGTCTGTGGTTGAGGGATGGGGTGCAGGAGAAGGAAGGGAAATTGAAGCAAATGATGCCAACGTGCTCCCGGGCTCAAATCTGTGAACCTGTGAAATATTTTATGATAAACCTGGGAATTATGTGCCCTGGCCCAGCAGCCCAGTTATGTTAGTCACCTGTAGGACTTGAATTGGGATTAGTCTAGAATGGGAAGGCTCATGACATGATATGGTGGATCCCCACAAGCTTGAGTAGATGAGGTCTAATCTACATACTTTTAAATTGTTCGGAGGTCAAGTCAAATCAGTCATCATTTATTAATGGTCTGCTGTTTGGCAGGCAATATGCAAGCACTGGGGGTAGAAAGAAAGGAAAAAAAGGCCTTGTTCTGAAGGAATACACAAAGGAGATGACATACAACTATGCTCAGACAGGCCATGTGCTGGATATAGTGGGGGATACCCTCCCAGGGAAAGCACTAACATTAAGGAGAACAGGGGAAAAAAAGCTTCTTGTAAAAGGTGGGATTTTAGCTGAGACCTGAAGGAAGTCACAAAGTCGAAAATGAGAATCGGTCAACTACTAGCATTTATTGAGCACCTATTTTTGTGCCAAGGACTGAGCTAAGTGCTGGGAAAACAGACACCAAAAAGAAAAAAAAAACCCAGTCTCTGCCCTCAAGGAACTCATATTTTAATGGGGAAGGTAACATGCAAACAGCTGTGTTCAAATAAGATATAGACAATAAATTGGGGGCTACTCTCAGAGGGGAGGCAACAAGGTAAAAGAAGATTGAGAAGAGCTTCTTGCAGACGATGAGACTTCACCTGTGACTTGAAGGAAGTCAGGAGTTGAGCATTCCAGGCCTGGACAGTAGCTAATGACAATGCCTGAAGTCAGGAGATGGAGGGTCCTGTACAAAGAACAGCTAGGAAGCCTGTATCACAGCATCAAAGAGGACATGGAGGGGCAGAAGGTATAAGAAGACTGGAAAGGTAGGAAAGTGGCCAGGTTATGAAGGGCGTAATAAGCAAACAGGATTTTATACTTGATATGGGAGGTGATAGGGAACCACTGGAGTTTATTGATTGTGTAGGTCACATCTGCCCTTGAGGAAAATTAATTTGACAGTTGAAAGAAGGATGGATTGGTGTAGAGGAAGACCAACCTGCAAGTTACAGCAGTAGTCCAGGTGTGAGGTAATGAGGGCCTGTACTCTGCTCTGCACAGAACAGGGAAGGGAGTATATTTGGGAGAGATTATGAAATTAGAATCCACAGGACTTGTCAACAGATTGGCTCTGAGAGTGAGAGAAAAAAGTGAGACATCAGGGATGACACCTAGTTTTGGACCTGTGTTACTGGAAGGGTAATTGTGCCCTTGACATTAATAGGAAAGGAGAAGGAGTTGGGGGAGAAAGACAATGAATTATTTTTCAGATATGTTGAGTTTAAGATCTCTACAGGACATCCAATCTGAAATGTCCAGTATGTAATTGAAAGCTGTAGTCTGGAAGTCAGGAGAGCTGTTAGGGCTGGATAAATTAGGATTTAGCATCATCTATGTAGAGATAATAGTTGAATCTTGGGAGCTGATGAGATCACCAAGTGAAATTGTATATAGAGAAAAGAGTAGAGGTCCTAGAATAGAGCCTTGGAGGACACCCATGGTTAGTTGTTTGTGCTTCGTTTTCGAAGAGAGCCAGTGACATTACAGGGTAATGTCTTGACTCACTCATGAAGTGGATTTGAGTGAGGCAGAGTTGCACAAAGTTGTCAACCTCACTTTCTCTTCCTGAGTCATCCAAGCGCAGTGGCAAGACAAAATTCAGGATGACCTCGGCATCTTTGATGTCTAGGCTGCTTTAGTTGCCTTCGTGGCCATTTGAGCAAATTGTTCTCATCCGCCCGTTCTGCCAGGGGGCAGTGTTCACATGCTTGGTGGAGACATACCCCTTACTCATCAACAGGTTTGAGGCCTGGGGGCTACTCTCAATCCGTTTAGCCCATCTGCCCAGGCCATTATGTGCAACCTGAAAAAAGATTCAAAGTCAAGAGCAAAATGCAGCCACAAAAATTAGGCCCTGGAAAACAGTGGATTTAATCAAGACATTAATATCCATTTTTTAAAGTAGTGGACTTATGAGGGAGAATATAATTGTCATGATGTAAAAAAAGCCTCATCAAAATATTAACTGTCTTGTGGAAAGTAAACATCCAGGAAAATTTGTTTGGCTTGACTGAATGTTTGTTACAAGGGCTTTGTTTTTCTTTCTTATTCCGTGAGGTGGGAGAGGAAAAGTAGATATCTGTTATTGAAAAAAATTAAAAATAAAGAAGATCCAGGAAAGGAGATTGAAGACTGGTCAGATAGGTAGGAGAGCCATGAGAGAATAGTGTCAGGGAATTCTTCAGCCCAGAGATTTTGTGATCCTCCTGGACAGTAATTCCTTCCATCTAGCTCCCTTTGACTGGAGGTCAACGCTAAAAGAAAAAAGTTTAATTAACATCAGCTGATGGGCACTTACCAGGTAACTAGTACCTCCTCTGTACAGAGAGATATGCACACATAGGATTTTTCTTAGCTTTAAGGCAGGCTGCAAAAAGTGAGACTGCTCAGACATTTTCCTTATTTTGGAGGTTGAGTTTGGGACATTGTTAGGTGACTTGGGAGCTTGGGAGGGTGGGGTGGGGAAATGTCTTAACTTTGGGCTAATCTTGGATGGCTTAGGTGGTGTAGATAGAGTGCTGGGCCTGTAGCCAGGAAGACTCATCTTCCAGAGTTCAAATCCAGCCTCAGATGCTAGGTGTGTGACCCTGAGCAAGTCACTTAACTCTGCTTGTTTTCATTTCCTCATCTATAAAATGAACTGGAGAAGGAAATTGGCAAACCGTGCCAGTATCTTGGCCAAGAAAAGCCCTAATGGGGCCACAAAGAGTCTGACTTGACTGAAAAAGTATCTCATCAGACCGTCTTGGTGGGTTATATCTCTAGTTAATCTTATCAGAATGTCTAGGTGGGACTGCAGATGGAGAGACAACCCTGCTGGCTACATTTCTTTGACCTCTAAGCCTGGCATCTTCCCCCAGAATCACTGCACACTGCTTTTTTATATTTCCTCCATGGTAATATCCCAAAAACATGGAAAGAAGAGAGCTTCCAAGTTATGGGATGGTTGACATTATTATCAAATCCTGCAGAGAAGCCTAGGAGAATTGGAAAAAGGCCTTTGAGTTTGGTTACTAAGGTCATTGTTAATTTTGGAGGGAGCGGTTTCACCTAAGTGATAAGACTTGAAAGAAGCTGAGAGGGAGAAGTGAAGATACTTCTCGTAGACAGTCTCAGCCTTCTCCAGGAATTCAGTCACAAGAGAAAGAGATAGATGGGATAATAACTAAAGAGAAAGAGGAGAGATGGGTGTGTTTGTAGGCAGTAGGAGAGCAACCAGTAGACAGGAAAAGATTGAAGATGAGTGAAAAAGAAGGGGTAATAGAGAATGTAGTCCCTTGGAAGACACAAGATAGAATAGGATCATTTGTGCAGGTAGAAGAGTCTGTCTCAGAAAGAAGGGTCATCTTTGAATGTAAGATAGATAAGGGAGGAAATAGTGAGAGGAAGGCCCTTGGGCGGCGTGAGATGAGGTGAGCAGGTGGGGAAGAAAGGGAAAAGGAAATAGCATTTATATAGGACCTACTGTGTACCAGACACTTTTAATTTGGTCCTCTCTACACCTGTGTAAGATACATGATATCCACATTTTACAGATCAGAAAACTGAGACAGAGGCTAGGGACATGCTAAGTATCTGAGGCTGCATTTGAACTCAGGTCTTCTTGACTCTGGTCCTAGTTGCTCTGTCCACTGCACCATCAGCTGCAGGGAGCAGCCGTACGGGCAGGTGGCTTGTGTTATGGAAGACTGTAGTGTGGTAGCACACCATAGTGCAGTGGAAATTTTAACTCCGATTCCACCACTTATAATGTGATGTTGGGTTGGTCACCTTCCTTCCTGAGGCAGTTGCCTCACCTGTAAAGTGGGGTAGTGATTCCTCATGCCTCCTAGCTCACCAGACATGCTGCTTTGTCAGCCAGAGCACTGTGTTAATACTGTGCTCTACTGTTACTGGGTTGGGTGCAGCAGGTGTACATTGCTGCTGGGGAGTTTGCGTTGGTGGTACTCCTGCTCTGGGGCTGGCCCCTGCTGTCATCCCCTGCACAGTTGTACCAGTCTGCTCTCCTCACCCTGCTGTCAGATTTCTCATCTTTTACCAGACTCTGACCACAGCACTCTCACGCAGACAGCGTTCCATTGTTCTGTTCCCTGCACTTTCACTTGCCATTCAGGGCCCTATATAACCTCTGTTGCACCATACAACCTTCAAAAAATGAATCCACTAACAGGAATTTCTTAAACGCCTACTGCGTGGCAGGCAAGTTTACCTTCCAGTGGGGTTAGATACTCTTAAGTCAGAAATTTTTCTTTTCTTGGAATTAAAGCTATGTTCCATGAACAAAAGTCATGTTCTGTTCCTTCAGTGTCTCCTCCCCCAATACTAAAAAAGAAGAAAAACAAGTTCCTTGTTTTCCAGTCAAGCAAAACAAATTCCCAAATCGACTATGTTCAGGAAAAAAAAGTCTGCTTTCTAATGAGCACTCAGATGTCTGTCCTGAGATGTCCTACTTCCTAAAAGCTGTGAGAATCACCCCTGAAAAAGCCTGTGAACTTCATGTTGTGGTCGAACTTCATGCAATGAAAGGTCCCTGAGTGAGCAGGCATATTTTTGGTATTTCAGCCATCAGTGACCTTCAGAGATGTTGCTGTGGACTTCACCAGGGCTGAATGGGAGCGTCTGGATTCTACTCAGAGAGATCTCTACAGAGATGTGATGCTTGAGAACTATAAGAACCTCATCTCCCTGGGTAATGACAGTTCTTCACTGAAGGACTTTCTATAGATGCCTCTGAGCTTTTAGCCAGCATAACTGAAAACATTTACCGATTTTATTCTTGATATGACAGGATATTCAAGGATCAATTGGATGTGAAGTTATTCCTAATGCCTTTTTGGTTAAGAGACAAAATGTTTCTGTTCCCACATGGAAGAGCTTACTTTGTATGGTAGAAATCTGTGGCATCATTGTCCTGTTCCTGAAGCTGCTCCATCCCCACTTTCTGTTCCCTTAGGTCAGGTATTCCCCCTCCCCTGCCAAAGCACAAAGTCCAGTACTAGTCATGGATTGATTGGGTCAAGTGAATTAATTTTCTTTCTGAGCCAAACTCCTTGGTTTCATGACCCACTACAGAGAGTCCTTCAGAGACTCTTTGTGACCACCCCTGGGCTTTCCTATGATTCCCTCCTTTGCCTGAAGATAAAGAGATTAGGATTGGATTCTGAAATGATTCCTTGTACCCAAAAGTTTCCCATTTCTTTTCCTGAGCAGGGTTTCCAATTTCCAAACCAAAAGTGATCTCCAAGTTAGAAAGAGGAGGTGCACAATGGATGCTTGGGAGAAAAGTTCCCAGAAGGCCCTTTCCAGGTGAGTGAGTGAAGAGCCTAACAGATGTGAGTGACTGCTGGCTGTAGTAGAGAAGTCAGTGGAGAGGATGCAGAAACTAAAACAAGCTGTTCTTACCCATAGTTCCTGGAAGGTGGGGGCGGGGCAGGCTGGAGGCCTGAGACTGTCCCGTGTAAATTCCATCTCAGTCATTCATTGTTTTTTTCCCTCCTTTTCAGTTAAATGATAGGTTTGAAAATGACCTAAAAAACTGTCTAGTTCAAACTCTTGAACTTGGGGATGCAACTTCATACTTTGTAAAATGAAAATGTTGGCCTAGAGGACCTCTGAGGCCCTTTCCAGCTCCAGAGCTATGAGACAGAAGGGTAAAGTGACTGAGGACAAGGCTGTGCCATTCTGAAGGAGCAGAACCATGCTTTGAACTCAGGTTGCCTGTGCCCCATGTCCAGTAGAGCAATTACCTTGTCCTCAGAAATATCACACTTTACTACATCATGAATGAGAAAATTAGAAGAGTAAGAAGAGCTGAGTGGCACTGCTGAGGTTATAACTTTGTATTTTATTGTCTAGAATTAGATGTTAAGATCAGATGGCTGGTATAGTAGAAAGAACGTGAGCCCTAGGATTTGGGAGCTTTGGGCTCTGGTACTGTCATTGACTTGGCTCTTGGTATCCTTCTCTGAACTTCCTTGTCCTGATCTGTGGCCCAGGCTGACATGTTTAGAATGCACGCTCTCTTCCCTCTGGCCTTCGCAGTAAGTGCTTTCTGTCATGTCTAAGCCCAGTGACAGCCTTGTGTATGAGGCCTTTCCCAAACCCACTAAGTGGTTTATGTTCTCCCAAAAAACGTGTATATTAGCTGTGGAGTGATCTTCCCTCAGTCAGCAAGCTTTTGAATGCCCACTCTGTGCTAGGCAATTGTGATGGAGAGCAAAAGGATCCTGTAGGATAGTCATGTTCTCTTGAAGAAAATATTCATGATGTGCAGGTGCAAGGATTTGGAATTGTCTGACAGTCTGATAGCCTCTCTTTCCTGGATGCCTGGACATTTCTTTTCTAACAGGATTTTTTCCAGCAGTTTTTTGGAGGTGTTTACTCTTTCAGTTATTTTCTGTTTATTCTGTGTATAGCTTGATCGTACATTGTTGTTTGCTTTCATCTCCCCCATAAGATTGGGAGCTCCTTGAGAGCAGGGACTGTTTTTTGCCTCTTTTTGAATCCACAGGGCTTAGTACAGTGCCCAGCACAGAGTAGACAATAAATGCTTAATAAGTGACTGACTCATCCCCAACCCCTCTGGACTCGGGTTATCAGTGATTTCTTAATGGACAAGTCTAAGGGCCTTCTCTTCATCTATATCCTTATAAGGATAAAGACATAAATTCTGTTAACATTTGACACTGATGACTTTCTTCCTAGATACTCATCCCTCCAGTTTTTGTTGTACTGGCTTCTCCAAGTACTTCTCCGATCTCTGTAACCACTCTTCAGTTTTCTTTGCTGGGCCTTCAAATATGTCAATCCCACTATCCCCCAAAGTTCTGTCCTGAACCCTTTCTCTTCTCCTTCTGTACTTTTCTTGTTTGGTGATCTTAGCTCCTATACTTTCAGTTTACATTAACATCTCTTTGTGAATTATTCCCCAATCTCCCTGATCAATTTATCTAGCCCTGGTTTGTTTCCTGAGCATTTAGAGTTAGGCTGCATCATCAACTGGTTATCAGACATTTTAAACTTTATATCCTTTATTGGCATCTTAAACTCAATATGTCCAAAATGAAGCTTTTTAAAAAGCAATTTGGTAACGCAAATCCACAGATCAATTAAATCAGTTAATCAACTTTGATTAAGATTATTCAGACAACTTGAAGTCTTCTTAGCCCTTCTGTTATCAAGCCCATACTTCTAAAGACATCTTGACCATCTTGTCTTAACTCTGACATCAAAAACTTGCTGAAATTTAAATACTAACTCACTAACCAACCCCAAAATCTTACAGATATAAAAAGTAGGTTAGCTTTGTATGATTTCTTCACTTTTCCCTCTGAATTTTGGATTTCATTGCTTTCTTTTTTTTAAGTACTCAATTAGCCAGTTCAGCATAGGTTTTGTTTCAGTTTTGTCAAGAGATCACTGTTAGGATTAGCAGCCTGTCATTTTCAGAAACAACCTGTTTTCCTTTTCTGAAAATTTAGACATTTCCCCAGAGTTTACCTACAATAAATCTGTAATGGCATGATTAGATGCTTTAAGTACTATGAAACAATCCCTTTAGTACTGAACAGATAAGTTTATCTTATCATATACATGAGGCTTTAGTTTCCTGTTATCAGTCTTTGTCCTATTCATTCATTTTCATTTTTGTTGATAAGATACAAATACTTTATAACTTATTGTAAAGAATCTTTTATTATATTCAAACACACTGTAATATTGACATGATTGTATTTCTTTCAGGTCGCCTTTGTCAGAAAAATAGGGGTAAAAGCAAGGATTCCACTCCAAAGCACTGTAATTATATGTCATTAAAGAAAAGACTTATAGTGAATAATAAGGAATGTGTTGAAGCCTTAAGACAGAATGGATACCTTAGTGGACATCAGAAGATTCATACTGGAAAGAAACTCTATAAATGTAATGAATGTGAAAAAGCCTTCAACTCCAACTCAAGCCTTACTGTACATCAACGAATTCATACTGGGTTAAAACCATATATATGTACGGAATGTGGAAAAGCTTTCAGCCAAAAAGGAAACCTTACTAAACATAAAAGAAATCATACTGGGGAGAAATCCTATAAATGTAATGAATGTGGAAAAGCTTTCAGAGACAGAGGATACCTTACTATTCATCAGAAAATTCATACTGGGGAGAAATCATATAAATGTAATGTATGTGGGAAAGCCTTCAGCCAGAAGGGACACCTTACTGTACATCAGACGATGCATACTGGAGAGAAATCCTTCAAATGTGATGAATGTGGGAAAGCCTTCAGCCAGAGGGGAAGCTTTAATATACATCAGAAAATTCATACTGGAGAGAAATCCTTCAAATGTAATGAATGTGGGAAAGGTTTCATTGACAGAGGAAACCTTAATAAACATTATAAAATTCATACTGGAGAGAAATCCTATAAATGTAACGAATGTGGGAAAGCCTTCAGCCAGAGGGGAAGCCTTAATAAACATCATAAAATTCATACTGGAGAGAAATCCTATAAATGTAATGAATGTGGAAAAGCTTTCAGCCAGAGAAGTTACCTTACAATACATCAGAAAATTCATAGTGGAGAGAAATCCTATAAATGTAATGAATGTGGAAGAGCTTTCAGGCAGAAGGGACACCTTACTGTACATCAGAGAATTCATACTGGAGAAAAACCCTATAAATGTAATGAATGTGGTAGAGCCTTCAGAAAGACTGGACACCTTGCTGTACATCAGAGAATTCATATTGGAGAAAATCCTTTTAGTACAATGAATGTCAAAAGACTTCAGCCACAAGATATTCTTTATTTATCTTGACAGTTCATGCAAACACTTTCAAAGTAATGAGCGTGGGAGAGTTTTCACTGACAGTGAAAAAAATTACTGAATGCTTAATCATAGAATTAGAGGTTTTGGAGTTGGAAGTGACTTTTGAAATGTATTCTAGTAACTTGATTCTGACACCTGATGGGGTAAATGGGCTGGAAGCAAACTGAGCTCCTCCATGTTACTCAGGTAGTAAGTAGCAGAGACAGGATTGAAACTGAGATCTGAGCCAAATCTAGTTTTCTTTCCATTGCACCATGCTGACCTCAGGATTCATATTGGAGAGAAAACCTTTGAATGCAGAGTACGGGCTTGTCTTCAGCAGCAATTCATGCGTAGTCCACAAAGCATTTCAGAATTGGAAATGGCCTCAGTAGCTGTTTAATATAACCCATACTTTAAAAAGAATCTGACACACACACCCATGAACTAATCATTCAGCTTTTACTTGAAGATGTTTCATAAAGGGTAAACCACTCATTCTCAGGCAGCCCATTCCTCTTTGGAGTAGTTCAGGGGGGAGAGTACAGAGGCATCAAAATGAGATACTCTGGAAAACAAAAGGCAACGGTTATATATGTAACATATGTAAAATATTGTTCATGTGTTTTTTTAAAGCACGGTACTTAGAACTAACACAATATTCTAGGTGTAGTCTCAGCACTCCAGAATTCAGTGGAACTATCCTTTTTCATGGAAGCTATCTGTCTTATTGCGGCATACAATAGCATTAGATGTTTTGGTTGTCATAGCAAATTGTTGGCCCATTGGACTTGCAGACCATTAAAATCCACAGATTTCTTATTTTCTCCAATACAAATCCAATAATAAACCTGATCTTAAATATATTTCCCTCATCTTTTAATTGTGAAGTTGATTTTTTCACTCCCGAGTGTAAAGTTTATTTGTGTACGTATATGCATACATACACATACATTTAATTCCCATCTTTTTAGATTCAACTTGATGTGGTGGTCTGTCGAGATCTTTTAAAATTCAGGTCAAATCATCAAATGTGTTAGCTGTCCTTCCCAGATTGATGTCATCTGCAAATTTGGTAAGGATGCCATCTATGCCTTTCTCGAAGTCATTGGGTAAAAATAAAATGTAAACTTACTAAGGGTAAGGACTATAATTTTGAATCTATCCCTAGCACCAACCCTGCATCAACTCTTAAGAGCCATTTGTTGGGCAGCTGGGTGGCACAGTGGATAGAGCACCGGTCCTGAAGTCAGGAGGACCTGAGTTCAAATCCAGCCTCAGACCAAACACTAGCTGGTGACCCGGGGCAAGTCACTTAACTCTAGTTGCTTAAAAAAAAAACCTTTTGTTGAATGAATAAATGTTGAATAGCACAAAGCCAAGCACTCATCCTAGGGATACTTTATAGAATACCTTAACCCAAGATGACATTGAACATTTAATGACTACTCTTTGGGTTGTGATTGATTCAGTAGAGATATATGTAGTGTTTTACCCTTTAGGGTAACAAAAATCGACTTCACAAGTTCAGGAATGGAGATACATAACAGTTTAAGATCTGAAAGTTTTAGTGGACTTCAAGCTCAATGTATCAGTATTGTGATGTGACAGTCAAAAATCTAATGCAGTCTCAGACTGCATTAAGGAGTTTAACATCCAGGAATAAGAAGTCTGTAGTCCTATACTCGGCCTTTGTCAGACCTTACCTGGAGTACTGTGTTTAGGGCACCACTGTTTAAGAATGACATTGATAAGGCAGGAAGTGTCCAGAGCATAGCAACAAGGATGGTGAATGAGGTTGAGTCAAGGTCATAGGATTATTGGGTGAAGGTACCGGAGTCGCTTTTAGCCTAAATTTGAGAGGACTGAAAACCTAAGAGCTGTGTTCAAGTATTTAAAGACCTATTGAAAGAGCAGAAACAGGAGCAGTTGGTGGAAATTGCAAAAAGGCTTGATAAAACTAACAAGTAGAGTTGTCTGAAAGTGGCATGAGTCATCCTGAGAGGCACGAATTCCCATGGGCCTTTGAACAACTGATGGTAATCATGTGTCAGTCTGTAAAGTGGGTATTCCTTTTGGGTGTGGGTTGGTCTTGATGGCAGCTGAAGTCTTTTCTAATTTCCAGATTCAAAATTATAATTCTGAGGCTAGTCATCTGATCACTTCAGATGTGTCACATTGTTGTCATTTAGCCTATGTTTCCATGTCCACAAGAATAGCATGAGTTTTGTTTGTTTGTTTGTTTGTTTTGGCAATTGGGGTTAAGTGACTTGCCCAGGGTCACACGGCTAGTAAGTGTCAAGTTTTTGGTCATAGGTCAGATTTGAACTCAGGTCCTCCTGACTTCAGGGCCGGTGCTCTAATCCACTGTGCCACCTAGCTGCCCCTTAACAACATGAGATTATTGATCAGAGCATGTTATAATGTGGGTCAACCTGACCCCTCAGTTTAATAAACTCTTTAAAAAAGTATATAAGTTTATTCCAACATTGCCTGTTTTTGATGAAGCTATGCTGCTTTTTGTGATCACATTTTCCTTTTCTACATATTTACTAAACATCTTCAGATAGCTTCCCTTTATCTTTTTGTTCTCAGAGCAATATTTGCTTTTATTCATTCCTTCAGTTCTTCCCCTTTCAGTCTTTCAGGTATCACTGGCAGTAAGGATATAGTTCATCAGGAGCTGATGTGAATTCTTCAAGAGCTCTCTTACTATCTGCTCATTTATCTTGAGTATTAACTTGCTGATAGATATTATTGTCTGATTCTTTCTGTTCCGCTGGTCATTCTTTTTGGCTCTGCCATCTCTCTTTTGTCAGTTATTCTATCTGTCTGGAATGATAGTCCTAGCTCTTGCATTCTCTTTTTACAGTATGGCTAAGAAAATATTTTTAATTGGCTTTTTTCAGCAGTCTAATCTCATTTTTAATTTTATTATTCCTACCCCTAGTCTTGGAAAATTTCACCATGCTTTTTTTATTCATCTTCTTTTATCTTGTGTAGTCTTTAAAAAATTAATTGCTTGCTGAGATCTCTATACAACTATCTACCTTGATATATTCAGCTCCCATTTTCCCTTGTCACTGGAATTGTTTCCCTTTATGTCTTCAGAATTTCTTTCTTAGAAGCTTCCCACTCATCTTGGGCTTAGGTGCCCATAGGATTTTAGTCTATGTCTTCCTTCCTAACCTTCCTCTGAACTTTTTTGAAATCTTTTTTAGAATGAATGTTAGACTATGTTTGGCCTTACTTTCTTTATCATATACACTAGTACTTTTTCTTCCATGGGCCCCATAATTATCACCTGCCAACCTTGTTTGTTCATCTATCTTTTGAAGGTTGAAATTAGCATTTAGAAAGGCCCAGAAATTATTAACTGCTTTTTTCCCCTGCTTTTGGTAGAGAAAGAACTCCAACAAATAATTACTTTATTGAAGTCTTCCATCTATACTATGTTAACTGCCTTGTTTCTTTTAAATAAAGTTTACTCTTCTAAAACTATTTTCCAGGCGTGGGTTTCATTCTGCTGCATCTCAGTAGTATTTCTGGAATCAAATTTGCCTCTCTGGATTGGGACCTTTACCTCATCTTATTGCCTTAATTTTGTGAGTATATTTAGGTTTCAGTTTGGTTCTTTTCTTGTATTTTGTCTCTGATCTCCTGGATGTCTCAGTTGCCATTCTTCCTTCATAGTAAGCCTACTCTTTTTATGGCATCTAGCATGGTGATGTACATGTAGTTTCCCCCTCCATATTCAGTTTGAATCATTTTGATTAGATTATGGGACACCAGGGAAATATATTCTTAACATCCTTTGTTAAGTGCGTTCCACCTCTGCCCAGTAGCTTGTCATTTTTTTAAAAGCCTTGGTCTAGAAATCCAAGTCCCATCCTCAGACACTGTCTTTTTTAGTGTCTTAAGTGTTTAGTCTCTAAATTACTTTTCTGCATCCCTTTCCTTTTATGGGAGAACAGAGAGAAAATGTCATCTGTCCTTATAATCTCTCTAGTTTCCTGCTAAAGACTTCATAATTGGAACTGTTGCCTAGGTTCTTCCTGGTAGTATTATTTGTGCCTCCATGATTCACCTGAATCAGATAGGTTGCATCTGTCTCAACAAGTTCCAGGAAGTGATTTTTTATGTCTTGGGTATATGAAATAGGGAAGACTCCAGCCTTCTGTGGTTTTGATAAGTTAACAGACAGCTGCTGTACTATACCGAAGTACTGAGTCATCACCCGTTACTGCTGTTCTGTTTTCTTCTAACCATTAGTAGGTTACCTTATTACTGATAGCTTCAGTGGTCTTGCTTATTCCTTGGAAGACAAGTGGGTGCTTTCTAATCAGAACACAGAGGTCCTTCCTCTTGGGGAAGAGTTGTGCATTTGTTTTGTTTTTTTAACTCTGAATGTTGAGTTTCTCCAGTACTTGTGCCTAGGGGAAACATTAAAAACTTCTACAATGTATACCAGAGGGAAAGGGATTTGCAGACTGTCTCCTTAATGACTTAATGACTTAAAGACTTATAATTCCAGGGGGAAGCTTGGGTAAACGGGGAATAGATTCTTACAGGGGAAGTAGGGTTGCTTATAGGCAAACAAGAAGGGTTAGAAGAGAAACTGGAACAATTAGGGGAGTCAATTTAAGATCTTAATTTATTGCTTACAGTTACCATAGGCTAAAGATTTATATAGAGTTAAAAGTGACAGGATGGTGTAGAATCTACTATGCTTTAGGTAAATTAAAAAAAAAAACAGGTGGAAATCATAACCTCAGACATGGCAGCAGTAAAAACGGTATAGTTAAAAAAGAAACAAAAAGAGTACTCTTCTTAAAGTCAGTGTCGATACTGAATATAACAATCTGTATCAAATGGCTAAGTATCCAAGTACTTAAAGTGAAAAAGTGAAACCACAAGAAGAGAAATACAGTAAAACAGTAATTGTTCAGGATTTTGATGTATGCCTTTCAGAACTAGTTTAATAATAAAAAGAAAAATTTTGCGTGGACAGTTATAGAGAAGTTGGACATAATGGAGGCATTTAATGAATAAAAATTTCCTAGCTTTGCCACCTTTGCAAAATTTGACTATGCAAGAGTATAAAAAATTCATAATGCAAAAAAGGAAATATTCTTTATTGATATAATTAAATTATAGTCAACTAGAGGAATTTGGGAAAAAATCAAACCTAAGTGGAAGCTGAATAATATCATCTTAAAGAACTGAGTGGGTCAAAAAGCCAGTTATACAGACAATGTTTCAAAGTTTTCAGGAGTTATCTAAAACAGTCCTTTAGGAAAAATTTATATCTTGAAGTATGTGGTAAAGTCATTCAATCATGTCTGATTCTTTGTGACCCCATTTGGCATTTTCTTGGCAAAGATACTATAGTGGTTTTCCACTTCCTTCTCCAGTTCATTGATAAGGAACTGTGGCAAAGATTAGTTTTCCTATTTTAGGCCCAGCACTTTATCCACTGTGCCACGTAGTTGCCCCATCTCTTAAGTATGTTTATCAATAAAAGAAGAAATTGATGAAACTTTAAAAGGTAGAAGCCCCTTCCCCTCCCCCCCCAAAATTCTACAAATACCAAAATAGCAATTCTGAAAACCAGAGAAAGATAAACAATTTTTTACATGAGATAATAAAGCTAGGAATTATTTTTAAAGACTAATAAAATACATAAGCCATTAGCTAATTTAATAAAATAAGAAAGCCAAAGTATGTTTTAAAAATTCACAACAGATGAAAAAAAAAATTCATTAGAAACCTTTGTCCTATTATATGCCAACAGAGCTGATAAATGGATGAAAATGGAACAGCCAAACATGGCTGTTCCATAAGAGAGCGCTGGACTTAAAGTCAG